GTAATTCTATACATGCAGGTTCGCCAGCCACAATCATACCACCAACAATCTTTCCTTGAACCCAAATTTTCCCATTTTCGCCAACAGTGACAGCCTCAGGCTCGGCTCTAGAGAAGTCTTCCTCAAAGCTTTCAACGATATTGACCTCCCGAGTGTCGGTAACCACCCGTTTCTCGCCCTTCCAAAATACTTGCACGCTCGCCCTGACCTCGTATCTGACCCGGGCTGAACCTGACGCAAAATTGATGCTCGATGGACTGGTACTTGGTATCGGTATGCGAAAGTTGAACGTGGATTTCCCTCGCTTTGCCTGGTAGTAATGAGCCGGCAATGGAAGGTCTCCCGGAGCGGGATGCGCTTGTACGGCATTAGATGGTGGAAGGCCTGGCCCTTGGAATAATCGTCGACTGTAGAGGAAAGGTGCCTTGGCTGTATGGTCCCGCGATAGCAACTCTACAACAAATTCTATGCAGTAAACGATCACGAGCCTGACGGAGATTCGCACCTTCAGTCCCGAATAGCTCTACCATCATTCCACTGATCCCAAGCCCTTTATCGGCCCTGCACTCCATCGCAAGCTGACCGCAGACGTGGGTGCCGCCAACGAACAACGGATCGGAGAAATCCATTGATATCTTGACCTTGGGATGCGTTGGCGTCGAGTTCATCAACTGAGGCCGGTCATGTTGCAGCGCCATGGCTAAATGTTTCTCCAGGAACTGGTTGTAATGTTGTCTAGGATGGGAATGAAGCCTGAAGAACATGAATATTAATGAAGGCACATAGAGAGCACAAGTAAGGGTTACCTGAAATTATTAAATAAAGTGGAAGAGCATCAGAAACACGACAGAAAGCAGAAAATAGACTGGAAATGAAAGCAGGAACTTGAATGACGAACGGGAGAAGCTGTGACCACGTGTCACGCTCACTGTTGTCGGATATTTGCCATTCACCAGAAGTGGCTGTGCAATGATCCCCGCCAGCTTCGGCCCGGATACCATACCCAAACCGTCACGAAGAAAGGATTGGTTGAGACCGCTCTGGCTTCTCGGCATGTTATTATAAAAGTACGTGAATTCATTCTCGCCTATACAAGAACTCGGTCACAACATTTAACTTTTAGTTGCTCTCGATACGATCATGTAGTACCTTTCTGTAACGTTGCGTACGGTCGAAAATGTTCAACCCTATGTATGAGTTTCAAGGGGCTCCTCTATATATCAATTCTTGGGATGATTTGTCGATGAAAAGTGTCCATCTTACTTAATGTACCTCCGCACCTTTCTGAATCGCGTGTCAATATTTTTCTAGGCGATAAATATCACAGGCATGCAGACGTTAGCAGACGCATGTATCCGCCGTTACGGACGTCAATCACCTTTTGACAGTCTGTATGCGGTACGGTTATGGATACACATGTAACGGCGTCTTTTTACTAGTACCATTTTTATCGTTTAAAGATCAGCTACTGAGACGAACTCCACTTCCGTCAAACTATGCCGGGTTGTTCAATGGAACACAATTACTGATGTAGACGCAGGCGATCGCCATCGAGTCGTTGAATAATTTACTCGGGTAGAGGTTACAGTACATTCTTAGTAATTAGGCCAAGACATCAATATTTCTCGGCATTGATTCCCAAATGTATGCACCTTTCTCCTAGTCGTGCGTCGCGTAGGTTCAGCGTTGTCAACCCCAAAAAGGAGCAACAAATCTCCTATCAGTTAGGCAAGATAGACGGGATTCTCCCGACCAGCCATAGGCTCCACTCATTTCTTTCATCAAAGCCACTTACAATTCGCCGCTCTACAAAATATAACCGCGCCGATTAAGGCGCTCGGGCCAGATTCTCCTAGCAATAGATCGTGCCGTTCGAATTGAATTTTCTCTTGCCAAGCTATAACCTGCGGGGTTACCATTCGTTATGTGCTTTGAATTTACCTAAGATATCGTACAAATTAATCATGAAGGAGTTGAGCCAGTCCTTCTCGAAACACTTGAGACGGCCATCAAGCTAGCACTAAAAAATGCACAGATAGATCGCGTGTTTTATCTGTTTGAAAGGATTTAATTCTCGAGGAATGTAAAAAACCAAGCACGAACGCAGCAAATCGAGCTCACAGTATAATTCTACTGAGTCCTTCTACTGCTCTAAAATTCGTCTTTCATTCCAAAACTGGTCCTTGATAATGTCACAGTGAATAAGGTCTACTTTCGTGCGTGGTTTGGCTTTTTTTTTCGCTTTCTTCTTCTGCTGCTCCGTCTTGTCCGCTGGCTCTTCTTCGGGAACCTCATTGCATTTCGTAAGTACGCGAGTGTCGTAAATGCGGAATCATGCAGACCTCTGTTCTCACTAAGACACTTCCCTTTCGGTATCTCGGGTCAATATCGTTGTAGTTGATCTGAAACCTGGAGAACAGGATCTCGTTCTTTTCTTTCGATATCGTACCCTGACACGGAGCTGTTAGAAGCAACCCATCACCGCAGGCAAAACGAACGAACCTTTAAGGTAGCGTGTGCCTGCGTTGTGGTTTCTCCACCTTGCTGAACAAGGGTCCAAAATGTGGTATTATACAGGTTGTTAATGTGCGCTATGCTTCGACGAATGAGTATGCATTCACAATCATATCCATACGTACTCACTGTCGGCCTGCCTCCAGGCAAAATAATCGCGTATTTCCTTTTCACCCGGATACAGCACGATTCTCCCATCAAAGGAGGGAGGGTAGCGCAGCGGTGTATCCGGAAGGAAAGTAGGCCAATACAATACATAACAAGAAGTAAAATACGAAGTCAAAGTAGAGACAATTTTTGATTGTCTACGATTATACAGTGACGTCGATTTACGAAGGAGAAAACTGTGTAACAGTCAGTAACAGTCGATGCAAGTTTAGAGTAGACTTTGCCTGTATTCGTCTGATTCACCGAAACCAAGCACGATATCGGGGTATTCCTCCATTAAATTTTGCGCGGCGTGGTCCATGAGACGTAAAGCTCGTAAATCGTTAGGCTTTGCGAATTTATGTTCATCGGAGAATCTATAACCGTTTCGATCAGAATTGATTTGAAGAAATGAATTGTCGTACCGATGGAAACTATGGCCGTCTAAACGATACACCATAAAGGTTCCTGGAAGAAGGGGGTCTGGTAGTTCAAAATTCTTAACATACTGGTACTTGGTCCCGGCCATCTTGTGAAAATGTCGATGGAAGCGGGGATATGGTAAAGGGCGGAGAGGAACCCGAAAAGACATGCGTGACTACGTGACCCGATGTGACAGAAAGATGATTCACATCGGAAGATCCCGGCGCCTCAAGGCCTCGAGACCGCGGGCCACGACCCACTTGGCAGAAACCACCACCAGCCTTCTTTCTTCAGCCGCGTCTACTACTTTTCGCTACCATTTAGCAACGATGAGCACTACCACTGCGCCATACCGAGATTACTTCCGTCGCCGCACTATCGGTCGGGCAGCATCGCCTCCTACCTGGGCTTGCTATGAGCAGATCCCATATGACGATGAGGACGACTACAGCGACAGCGGATCAGAATCCTGCTCCGAGGATGAAGAAGACTATTCCCATGCCCATGAGCACCTGAGTGACTCGGAGGATGACCACGACCACCGTGGTGCGCCAATGAGTGAGAATCGGGCCGATGATTCCTTGGATATGGATATGGATATGGATGAAGAGAATACGGAGGCAGCAGCTGTGAAGAAGGTCGCTGCATCTCAAAAAGACGTTAAAGGAAAGCAAAAAGCTATTGAGCCTGAGCCTGAGCCTAAGCGCCGACACCGCAAGAGGGAGCGCCAACATGTCTATACTCTCCGTCCCATCCTGACCATACAGAGAAGTCAGGGCTTTGTCTGGAATCAAGTGAGCATATCTTTCCCTCACTTTCTCTTCATCTGATCGCTCATTGTTCCGATTATAGGACTTATTTGTGCCACCTTATATCAAAGACCGATGTTCGTCCATTTATCTTTCTATTGTCGCCTCCTGCATCTGGAGGAGAGCTGATTATTGATCGTCCGTTCCCTGTAGATGTCGCCTCGACGTCGCCACCAAATTCGGCGGGTTTCATATCCACGTCCGTGTCGTCCACCAATTCTGCGTTGAATGATTATGAGGTGGAGGTTGTAGAGATTCGTGTTCAAGATGGTGATTTGGATCATATTATTCCATAGATACATATCATACGCTTCGTTTCGTGATTCTCTACCTTTCTGTACGTAGGTTCACTTTCTCTTTTGTTTTCCATTATTTCAGGTAATAGTTTTGACTACTTTACGTGCTAGGGTTTTGTGCATGTACTAAGGTCAATACAAACATTCACCACTCAAAAGGTTCAAATAGCGTTTAAGCAGTCAAGCTTGAACGGAAATTTGAAAACTGTCTAGAGAAGCTGGGTGTTCCTCGATGTCATCTTAGCGCTATAGGTGCACAATATCAGGCTCAGTGCCAAACCTGTCGCACGAAACATAGGTTTATAGAAAAAGGCTGGAATGCCATGCCTCCTGCAAGACCCAAAACTGGGAACGCCGGCATAGACGAGCGCCGAAACCAGAGGCAACTGCGAGGAGATCTAAAGCTTCGTCAAAAGCAACACCCAAAATACCGTGCTACTGGCCAGATATTCAAACTACTAGATGACACTCTTACCTGCAAGGTCTGTGCATGAAAATTGAACCATACAACGGTGGAGTTGCATGTACAGAGTCAGTGTATGGAAAACTAATCAATGACAACACTAAGCTAGACCTAAAGCACGACCACAGTCACCCATATCCTAATTTCTGCATTCGAATTTCAACCCCCGGGATTATGCCGCGTAAACTAGTGCACCCCCGGGCCGGCCCTCGTGTCTCGATACTTAATCCTTGAGCCATGAGTAACGAGGACTCAACATTGGGCAGTGAGCGCTCAGCAGTTAAAACTTAGGAATCAGGAATCAGGATGCATCGGTAAAAAAGAAAACTAATTGTGCAGCACTGCTGATGCTCCCGACCAGGGTCGAACTGGTGACCTCCAGATCTGTGGTCATATATAAGATATGAGACTGGCGCTCTAACCAACTGAGCCACGGAAGCGTGCCGTTATCGCTGACATTCTTACACCACAATCACTCGATGACTGGTGATCTTGTACTCAGCCAATTATTTGCATATTCTTGCTTTATGGGGGACTCAAATATCGAAAGAATGGCTCCGAACAAGGGAAGGAGTCTCAACTTCACCGTGTCTTGTGCATGGCCGTTGTGATTACCCAAAGGACCGGAGGTAGTACGCAAAGTTTTATTTGGGCGGGCTTCCATTAAGCAGACCATTGTTCTGGGACAGCTGAGAGCGGGGCTTGGTCGCAGCCGAACTGGAGCGCCTTGGTGTTCCGTCGGTGTCTTCGGCACTGTCCGCATCCTCCCTCGGTCATAAATCCCCCATGCGTAATTGACATCCCTGGTCTTAATCATGTTCCGGCGCTATATTACAGCCAATAGGGCATCGTCAAGCTCCCGGTCAGCTTCCTTTAACCTAGCGGCTTCTTTCTCTCGCTCCAGTTCCTTTTCTCTGACGGCCTCCGTCTCCCTTGTGAGAACGTACGTGGGTCTAGTATGAGGTTGATAGTCGAGGTGTCGCTTAACATAGAAACACATATAGGCCCGAGAGTCCAGACAGGCATTCAACGAGGAATGCGTCACTCTGATAGGTGAACGTGAGCGAAAAGGTCGAAAGCGGCAACCAAAACCCACTTGTCATCATCGAAACGATACCACTGTATAAATATCTATCAAGACTCCGTCGCACACGGATAATGAAGCCTTACCTCGCTCCCAAACCGCGCAAAGTTTGTGTAATGACCGTTACTGATCTGACCCTCATGGTTGATAACAGCGAAAAGATCGTATTCGTACATGACTTCCGGGCCGAAGGACCTAAGGTGCAATTATCAGTCGTATTACGGGGCAAAGACCGTGGCACCGACGTATAATTGTTCTCTTTTTCGTTCTCTTTCAAAGCAATCGAGGTGAACGGCGCCATGTTGATAGTAGCGGGAAACCGGACGGGTGTATCGAGCTTCCGAGCCGTGGGTTTGTCCGAGGTTTTGTGTTCAAAGCGCTGTATAAGGAAAGGTCAGATTCCGGTCCCGAGAGGAATAAACGCCGACCTTGAACTGGAAGCTTAGCACCGGGGGGAGCTTGGAAATACTCATGCGCTTGCTGACCTCCTGATCCCACAGTACAAAATTAGTGGTTGATACGGGCATTGACGTTGCCTATGACGAACGCGAGAAGACTTGTTGCATTTTCCGCAGTTATATTCCTTGGACCCAAGTTTCTCAGATTGTGTGAATCTGTCAAGGTGTTACGAATATAGGCCGTAAAGCAGATCAGTAACGGACCTCTTTAAACAGCCATACAGTGTGGTCTCGTCTTTAAGTTCTAGACTAATGTCGAGCATTGGATCGTTTGTGCTCGTGACATTATTACATCGCTCGCACTTGACATCGCTCTGAAGCTGGCCAGCAAAGGTGGAGTGGATGATGCAATTGCAAGAAACATTGGTTGATCCGCGAGAGTTACTATGGATATGATTCAGCACGGATATGAAAAACTCATGCGCATCGTGTTGTGCATAGCCGGCAAGGTCGGGAGACTTCATCCAAGTCGTTGCTAGAAATGAGCTTGGTCCATATGGGGCGGTGTCGAGTGAATAGATCTAAAAGCTGGCGTCAACAGGTACCGGTGAAGGAAATATGCCCCCACCTCGGTGAATAGCTTGTCCATCTCACAACAACTGCAGTCTTCAATCTTGCACCCTTTGACGTTATGCTTGTCCCCCAGGAAATAGTTCCTAATAAGAGGGTTATGCACCAGGCATTGTAAGACGACGTTAAGAAAACACGTCTGTCCCAGATTCAATAGTCCACGGCGAGCTGAGAACACGTTAACAGATTCTCGCAAGATCGTAAACCAGAAGAGTTACCTTGGCAAGATATAGGTAACGAACCTTCTAATTCCTTCAGTTCGCTGTCAGACGGAGCCCAAGCAACGAAAGGCTCTCGTGATCGCTTGGATACTGCATCACCGTAGTCAGTTGTACAGATCTTAACGGATCTCAACGAGAATAAGCCACAAACCCTGATATCTGGTTTCCTTCTCCTCGGCAGAAATGACGGTCGCCAAGTATATTGCTTCTAACTTGGCATTATACACCATGTCCATGCAATCAGAGTCCGAGCAGAACACAGATCCTGAATTCGGATCAACGCCTGTTTGATAAATTAGCTACGGGGCGTCTTCAGAGACAATAAACCTACAAAATAAGTGCTCTGCATCCGTGAGATGATCTAGAATATGTGTCCAACAACCCGCGAATGAACAATGCAAACAGACAAATGGGCGCGAAAGCAGCGTTTCGCAGATGCCGCAGGAAGGTGCAGAGATCTGCAACGCAAGGGTCAATCATGTAAACTGGCCTTGCAAGTTCGAACCAACCTTCCTGCGCTTCGCATTGCTTCGGACAACTTGGTATTGATGAACATTCCAGGAAACAAATTTCTTATATCTCGAGACGATAGACTCATCAGCGAGAGCAGCCGCGATGTGAGAGCATTCCTCTATTTCCTCCAGGGCTGCTTCCAGGTCCGAGGCCATTCCAGGAGTCTCACGTGCCTCGACGACGGAAGTAAATTGAGTGAAAATACGCCGTCAAAGACGCGACGACGACGGGGTATGTAGCAGCCAGGTATATCCAAGAAGGTGGTTGACAGAAAGTGATAAGGCTGTCAGGGAAAAGGCATTCCAGAGCTCGTCCGGCCGAAATGGTGGTAGTTGAAATTCAGGAGGATCTTGTTTGTCCGTGTTAATTGCCCTGGTGCACGTGTCTCTCGACGCCTCAAACCAATTTCAATTTGCTCATCTTTCCTGCAAAGCGCACTGGCCGACATAAAGTCTGTCTAGGATCTCTACTTACAGCATCTGAAAGTCAAGTGAAAACCTTCAATTATGGCCTCGTTCTTCTGCTTTCCCCTGCGTAGAGGACCATCACATCATATCCTAACTTCCGATCCAGATTCTCTACAACTGGCTGACAAGTCCTCCGTGAAATCTTGTGTATTCTGTAATGTCTCGAAAGAGAACGGATTCAATATTCTTTGGGAGGTGGGTGAGATCTTTCTTCCTATTCTCGAGGGCCGTTTCTTATCTATGCATCGGTCTTTGCTAGGATGATAAATTCATCGCCTTTTACGACCGAGACCCCGCATGCAGACACCACGTTCAATTAATTCCGAAGGCACACATTCGTATGTTTGTCTCTGCAATTCCATCCGATCAGCGTTCCCGATATCTTGAAGGAAGTGTAAAGTCTTTGACGAAAGATGATGTGCAGCTTGGTCTGTATTGGTTCGACCGAGCTCACTTACACCATCATTATTGACTCTATCTCCGTCCATTTAGTTCGAGATATGGCTGATATAGGCATGGATATTCTAGGTAAACTCGATGTCCCGAAGGACATGAGAAAGTAAGGGCGCTTTTTGTCCCGGTATTCCCTAGAGGCTAGCTCATCTCAACGCCGGACCTTTAGGATGGGGTTTCATATACCCCCCTTCAATTCTGTTAGTCATCTGCATCTTCATTTGCAAGGTCTGCCGTATAAAAGTTTCCTTCGAGCGGCAAAGTATCCAGTCACTCGGGCTGGCAAGTGGCACGACAAAGGATTTAGCTATTTTGTAGATGTGGAGCAGGTCATAAGAATTTTAGAGAAGGGACACGCCGTCAGCATTTCTCCATGTTAATAACAGCGTCGATTTGCCTCATCCCAGGTACTTTTTTTGTTTCCCATTGGGCATCGCAGCAACTGAAGATATTTTAGGACACCTTCAGTGCACTCGTGGCGTTGTTCTAATTTTACTCTCCCTACCGTGGGCCTTGAGAATGAAAATAGATCTCTATTATAGAGCGATAACACCGTGCGCATGTTAACCATTTCGCCGACATTCTGGAATTCTGCAAGTTGACCCCAACCGTACTTGATAGGCTCTCCTTATCCTTGGTTCTGTCTTTCTCAAGGGCATCGATCAGAATAAAAATTAACCATCCTCCTCCTCCACGTACCCGTTATCGCGTGATGGATAGGCCTTTACCAAACCGGGTAACCAGGCGTACATGCCGTCAGGCATTCACACCTTGATTTCTGCACGTAAAGTCAAGCCCATTCTGCTAAAGGCTTACCGCCACACTGGCAAGACAAGGTAATCTACTTCCTCACTGCCGAGATAAACGTTTATTGTTTCTCGCCAGATCAAAGCCACTGATCTTACAAGCCAATTGAATGACGCCAGAATCACGTTGTCCAATACGTGTGCTCTGTTAAGCGCTGCTATAATTCTCACCATCACGGACCGTCGCTACGTTCAGGATCAACAACCGTGGGTTTTATAATTATATTTTGATCGTCTCTGATCTGTATTAGAAAAAGCCGCTGGTTCTGCTATTTTTGTGTGTGGATGGTGGACATCTTTATGCCGCCTTGTAAACTTCCCGTCTTCCTGCGATTACCCGTCAGGCATGCTAAAGATACATTTCCCTTCAAAGCCTTACACTCTCTATGCTATTTGGCCGCTTTTCCTTTCTGTCGATGAAAACCTCCAGAGGCACGTCATAAGACCAGGCATCGACACTATTTTGCGTAAGTCCAGATTACAATCTACCCGCTTAAAGACTCTTACCGCATGCTTCTGTGCCCTCAATTAGGTAGGAAGTTTTGTCTCTCTCCACTAGACGCGTGTTCTGAAGTCGCCTGCATGTGAGGTAAGGAGACCCTTTTCGTCGCCACGCCTTTCTAATCGCGCTAAGCTGGCGCAAGTATCACCCGACTTGTCTTGGCGACGTGTTAGCAAGACTTTGGTCAATTTTATGGACAACGATATAAAAGGACTCATCAAAAATTCGAACATTTTCATCTCTCAAGTTCATCCAGAAATTGAGTTACACCTTCACCGTTATGTTCCAAGTTTCTTCATTGCTGGGAATCATTCTCCTTGCTCGAGTCGTCACAGGTGCACCCGCAGCTAGCGAGTCCGCATCTTC